ACTTCCCCTATTAAAACTGATCAAAAAACTAAAAAATAAGAATGAAATCATATCTCCAGGACTTCATGTGAACCTACTTTCCCTATACTCCAGGCCCAATCTTGGCTGTTAGATCGCTCTCTTGAAACCCAACAAGTGCAAGTGTATTTGCCACACTAGTCTATTTTATCCATGTCACAATTTTTAATTAAATGTCTCCCACAGATCACTATTTCAAATCATTGTTTCAAAAGTGGGGATGTTCTAAAGTGAACTTGAACATGATTCCATTTCTAGACTGAGCTCTAGCAATCTGTTTCAAGTACTCTTAAATAAAGCCCAGGAATTATATACAAACAGATGATAAATGGTTTTAAGTACACGCTTACTGGGTTGGGGTTGTAGCTCAGTGGTAGAGTGCTTGCAAGCATGTGTGAGGCACTGGGTTCAGTTCTCAGTACTACACATAAACAAATAAAATAAATGTCCATTGACTTTTTTTTTTAGTTTAAAAAAATGTTTAAAAAAAGAAAAAGGGACTGGGGCTGGGGCTCAGTGGTAGAACACTTGCCTGGAATGTGTGAGACACTGGGTTGGATCACCAGCACCACATTAAAAATAAATAAATAAATAAAAACAAGATAAAGCTATTGTGTCCATATAAAACTAAAAAAAAATTAAAAAAAGAGCCTACTGAGTTCTGGTTAGGACCATGTACAGTGATAGGAACCACAGTGACTAAGAAAAATAAGCAGCTGTATACCAGTGAAGCAATAGCACTGGGCTTTGGAAATCAGACTGATCTGAGTTCTCCAGTCTGCCAGAGGGTGACACTTCAACTCTGTGCCTCTGCTGACCCACCAGTGGGCTGGTGTTAGCAACTCTGCCTCCCTCGAAGGGTTACCGAGAGGATGCATGAGACACATCTGTATGCACATTTAGCTCTGAGTCTGGTGCTCAGGAAATGTTAGCCCTGCTTATGTTAAGATCCATTCTTAACATCAAGGACCCCAAATATATTTACAAATGAAAATACTCAGAATGAAAGAATGGCACTAGATACACAGCAGCACTGGTCACAAAAGATACAAAACTTCAGGAGTACTTGCATCCCTTCATCTGAGGATGGTAAAGTCTCCTGGCAAAGGCGAGAGGGAAACAGATGGTGCCTTGCAGGATATGGATAACAACAGGACCCCTGTAGTGGGCACCTTGTATGTAATATTCAAAATAACTCAAGTGAATACCTGTAAGCCCTATTTTACAGAGTAGCTGTTTTCCTGATGATATAGTCACCCAACTGGTAGCAGACCTAGGCTGCACAGAGAGAGGCTGAGGGAGGAGGAAGATAAATTATTCCTGTATGAGGTAGGAAACAACAGAGTAATTATATTATTGCCAAGTGAAAAGCAAACAACTTGAGGTTTTTTAAATGGAAAATAAAGATATAATAGCAAATTAGGGTCCAAGAGAATGGAAAACAAAGGAGTCTGGAATTCTGCCTGAGTGCAATGAAGAATCCCTGCTTTGCTTTTGATGTGTACATGTTCAATTAATTTAATTAAATACTACCACTATTACTAAGAACATTTATTGAGCACCAACTAAGGGCCAGACCCCACACTAAACCCTTCCTATATGTTGTTTCTAATAATTCCAACGACTCTGCAATTTAGCTATTGTCACCCTCATTTTGCAAATAAAGAAGGTCCTGAGAGGCTGCACCACTTATTCAATGCCTGCAGTAAATGGCAGAGTGGGTTCTGTGTGTGATGTCAAAAATCAGTGTCTTTTCCCCTAAGACAGCACTGCAGATAGACCTCCCTTGCAACAGAGAACCATAAAATAAGGGAGAAGAAAATGGAGACAGGGAACTCCCCAGAAACAATATAAGGATCCAGAGTCAGGACATTAATGTCTCAACCGGAATCACTGTGAAAATGGAAAACAGGTGACAGGAACCAATGTGTTCATGACCTTTTCTTTCATTTACTCCCATTCTATGTCATGTTCTGCTACCTGAAGTCGAAATCAAGTTAGTAATTATTCCAGCCCCTATTACTGTCCTTGCCTTCAAGCCTGATTTGAATCCTGTTGCTAGCCCAACAGTAAATGCTGCTTTCGGCATTTCCTTGTCCCATCACAATCTTATCAGAGCTAAAATACAGCATCATTCTCTAATCTGTTATCTGCATTGAAAGAATACGACAAGCCTCCACATCCAATAAATCATATCATGCCTCACAATACCAACATTTTTAAAAACCTGAGTCAAATATATAACCTGTCAAAGCAAGAAAACACATATGCTGAGCTCTAATGAGCTCTGCCAAATCCTACATCATTATTAAGGTTCATCATGATCTCAGAGAGCACATTGTTTTACAAAAATGGAGTGTGTTGTTACCAATATTTGTTTGGCTGCCTTCTAGTTAATATTTTAGGCAACATTGCACAACAAGTAAAGCAGTAGGAAATGTATGCACAGGAATATATCTTTCAAACTAATGTAAAAGCTAAGTACCAACTGCACAATTACTTGCACTATCTCATTTGACTATATCAAGAGTCAGAAGTTTAATGTTCATGCAATGATTCCAAAAAGCCAAAATATTTTTGCATTAAAACCTTAGCAGTAGTTCTCTCCATTCAATGATAAACTCAGTATTTCAAGTAGAAAAACAGTAGTATGCTGAGATATACAAAAATGCATAAAGATAAAAGACTGTTTGTTGTGGTTTATGTACTACCTTCACCAGAAAAAGATACTTAAATATATAAGATAAAACAAAATAGCAGCTCTCAATTATATAATGATCTATGGTTTATGTTTTTGAACCAACTGGACTTAATCTTATTCCAACATGCAAAGACATACATGGATATTCAGGAACTCTTCTCAACTATATATACTCAGACCCAATCAAATAACCTGGAGAATGTAGCAATAAAGTCCTTTCTCTGTAGTCAGGCTTACTACTGTGTCAATATCAGCATAAAGAGACAACCATTACCTTAGTAAATAGAAGATAAATTATCTTTTTTTCCATCAAGTAAGCCTCCCTACAAACCCAGTTATACAAATAACTCATGCACCTTTCCTCAATTCTGTGTGTTTCTGTAATCATCCAAGCCTGATAGCCTTGAAGCCCCACTGCTGCTCATCATAACAACAGTCTACTGCAACTCCACCCTTTTCCCATCTTTAGTTTCAATGGTGCCTTTAATTTTTCCCCTATTAGAGAAAGAATGAGGATTAAGAGTTCAAATTCTCCAAGTAGTTCATTGAACTGTCACATTAATACTATTTAACCCCAGGGAATTTTCTGTTTGCCACTCTCTCCCTTCCCCCAAAGGACTACATCTTATTTTTGATGTAGTAATGGAAAGCACTGCATTAAGACAGAGCAAAAACATAATGGGTTTAAATTTTTAAACATTTAACCTTTTCATGAGTCACTGTTAATCATTTGCACCTGTGACTTTAATAATCAGCCTGGCATTTAGAGAGGCAAAATCTGCAGGACAGAACTAAGTAAGGATGCCTCAGTCACAGCCATTACCATATCAGGGAGGAAAAAAGAAAGCTATTTTGTCTTATGTGACATGAAGAAAGTTTTACTAAGTTCCACCAAATCTCAAGAACATTAGAGCTCTAAGTACTTGAAATCTTCAAAAAAGACATGTATATACATACACAGACAAACAGAAAGACACACACACACACACACGTACACACACACCTGTAGTTTCAAACATTAAGATTTTACCTTCTGTAACAAGTTTTCTACTTTAAGTCTCAGGAGGGGAAAAAAAAGCTTAGGAATATAAGCACAATATTAGGAGAAGGAAGTTAATATTTTAAGTCATTTACCCCAATGAAAAATTAGGACTATTGGTGTTACAATATTTAATTGTTTATGTCATTGTGAAAGGCAGAGTAAAAGTGGCAATATTCTGATGGAAGTTGTTCTGCATCAGTGAAACACACAAGTTTGGAAGGTAAAAATATGATCTCTGTCAGTTGTAGTCTATCCTCAGCAAGTCATTTTCCTTGTGAGCAGAGGTTCCCATATCACGGAAATCTTCCTTAACTGCCAAAGGCGGAAAGGGATTCCCTATGAACAGCATCTGGACCACACCTTGTTTGGCCACACAAGAAGCTGACAAGGGCAGGAGGGAAATGTGTCTGGTCCATAGAGAGGATAGGGCCAAGAATCAAAATATGTCCCCTTCAATTTAACAGGAAAGGCCCTTACAATGGTTATTCAACCAATGGAGTTCTAGGGGTCAGTGCTGGACTATGTCTGTGGGATGCCTGGTAGGATTTTGTGGTCTAGCAGCTGCCAGCCTTTTATAAGCGTAGTGATGTTGTGGAAGCATCCATTTAGTGTGTAAATATGCTTTGGGCATTAAAACACGGCAAAGTGAAATATTAGAGAACAAGGTTCCACACCCACTGCAGAAATTTCCAAGGTCCAGAGCACCTGAGATGAATATTCCAAATTACCTGTAGCAAAATTTCTTTGTATTTTTTTCCTTTCCTTTTTCTTTTCTTTCTTTCTTTCTTTTTTTTTTAAATCCACTTGCTTGCTGATGAACCTACTGAGGGGCCTCCCAAAGATGATACCCACGGTTAATCTATTGGTCCTACCATTTACCTAGTTAGCAGGGAAAGAAGTGTTTAATAGGTACCCAGTCCTTCCACTTGTAGCAGAAATGAACCACCAAAATAAGCATCAGAAGACTTAACTCCTTAGAAATTAAAAAGACTTCCAGAAGGATAAAGAGAAAAGAGATCTCTTCTTCCCCACCTGCACCGCCCCCCCACCCCCCACACTCTGTTTCTCCCCTAGCCCCAGAATCAGTAGCCCCTCTGTAATTCCATGAGGCTCCAGAGAGAATCTTTTCTTTCATGGGGCTCCCTGATCTGACCCTGGGAAAGCCCAGCTGGTCGTTCTTCTTCCCACCCTTCCATCCTTCCACCCAACCCTTTCCCGCCGCCCCACTTCACCCCTTACCTGATAATGTCGTCGTTGTGTCCCAAGAAGAATTTTTGGCTGTGCTCACGGGTGTTGTACACCACCCCGACCCCAGCCACAAAGTAGACCACCTCCTTGCCGGCTGTATAGTACAGGTTGTTGCGGCACTGGTGACCCCGGTACCCGTACACCCACTCCAGCCGGAGCTGGCAGCTGGGAGCTGTCCGATCCGCCATGATAAGCCGACCCCACTCGCCCCCCGGCCCCCCTGCGCGCAGGTCCTTGGCCCCTGCGCGCCGGGTCTGTCCTCGCCAAGGCTCGGGCTGCTGCGGACCTGCAAGGGCTCAGTGTGCAGCGCCGGGCGCTGATTTCCGAGGCGACGCACAGGCACAGCCCAGCGCGCCGGCCGCCACCATCATCCGCCGCCGCCGGAGACGAGCCGCCGCCGCCGGTGCGCGGCAGCCAGACCCCGCCGGGCGCCCCGGCTCCCTCCCCCGGGGCGAAGCGGCTTCGGGGGAGCCAGCACCCGCGTGCGCGCGCGCGCCTCACTGCACCTGCGGGCTTCGGCCCCTGGGAGATGTTCTCGGGGGGGTCACCCCGCCTTTTAAGTCAGAGATCTGCATATCCAACCACTGATTACCCAGTTCGCTCACTAAGTTTGCAGTGCACAGGGGCTTCGCAGCAGGCAGCGGGATTTAATCCGTGACAGTTTGGGTTTGACAGGCAGCCCAAGTAAGCTTTGCCATCATGGTCCTTGGATCCGAAACTGACAGTCTATATCCAGGATGCGAGACCGAGGAAGAAAGAAACAGATTTTTTTTTTTCCATAAGTCACCTAGTCCAAGAAAATGATCCCCAAACTAAACCAAGTTTTTTGTTATTGGTTTTTTCCCCCCTAATTGCCAACTACTCCCTTTAGATCGATCTCGTTAATGATGTGAAATATGTCCTAATACTGCTGGCTGGTAGTTGTTGATCTGATGTGAAAGAACATTTGTTGTTTCCCCATTAAACCAGCCGAACATGCAATGGTCATCGTTTAGATGCTCCAATTAGCTGTCATGTATGTGATTAAAATTCGTATCCTCTTTGAACCTTCTTTCCACTGAGAAAACCATAAAGAACTTAGCAGTTCTCCCTAATCAGCAACTCCAATCTCAAGCGTTATAAAAGATTTTCTTAATCGGAGGAGAGGAAACCAGGCACTAGTGCAGTTGGAGGAAGGAGAACACTACCTACAAATGCCCTGGGTCCAGAGAAATTTAAAAATTAACAAGTGGCAAAAATCGTGCACCACTTCTCAGGAAACTCTG